AAACACAAACGTAGTGGGGTGGGGTTATGATTTTCATTTTGCTCGGGGGGGGGGAAGGGGGTTTGATGATAAACTTACTGGGGATTTTGGGGGGTTGTGATTATCACTTATTTGGGGTGTGGGGGGTTCTGTGTATCATTTACTGTTTTGGGGGGGTTTGCTGATTATCCTTATTTAAATGTGTGGGTTTTAAGAATTCCATTTTACATTAATTGGGGGGGGGGTTTGCTATGTATCACTTACTTTTGTGTGGGGGGTTTGATTATCACTTACTGAAAGGGGGGGAGTTGTTTGTTGTATCACTTACGGGGTTGGGGGGAGGTTGCTGATGTATCACTTACTTAGGGTGGGGAGGTTGATGTTTTCATTTATTTGGGGTTGGGGGGTTGCTGTTTTATCACTTACTGGGGGTTGGGGGGGGTTTGCTGATGATCACTTACTGTTTTTGTGGGGGTTTGATGTTGTCCCATTTACTGGGGTTGGGGGGAGGTTGCTAGTATCACTTACTTTAATTGGGGGGGTTGCGATTTTATCATTACTGTATGTGGGGAGGTTCTGATTTTCACTTACGGGTGGGGGGAGGTTGCTGATGTACATTTAATGTTTGGGGGGGGTTGATTTGTATCACTTACTTGGGGGTGGGGGGGTTTGTAGTATAAATTCGGTAGTTTTGGGGGGGTTGATTTGGGTCTCATTTTCTGTTTTGGGGGGTTTCCTGATTATCACTTACTGTATTTTGGGGGGAGGTTGCTGATGTTCATTTATTTTGGGTTTGGGGGGGGTTAAAATTTTAAATCATTTAAACTGTGGGGGGGATTGGGATTACCCTTACTGGGGTGGGGGGGGTTGATGTTGTATCATTTAAATGTTTTTGTGGGGGGTTAAATGATGTATCACTTGCTGTGGTGTGGGGATGGTCCGAACCTTAAATGGGGTGTGGGGGGAGGTTGATTTTAAATCACTTAGGGTTGGGGGGATGTTGTATCATTTATTTGTTGTGGGGGGGTTACTGATGTACACTTACTGGTTGGGGGAAAAGGTTTTTTAAAAAAAAAAAATTTTTGTATACTTACTTTTGGTTGGGGGGTTTGATAAATTTTTTCCCTTTTATTTGGGGTGTGGGGGGGTTATTGTTCATTTTACTTTTGGTGGGGGGATTGATGTTGTATCACTTCTGTATGGGGGGGTTTCTGATTTATCACTTACGGGTGGTTGGGGGGTTGCGATGTATCATCAAACATTTTTATACATATCATCTACTTATACTTATCATTACTTTACATATCATCTACTGTAATACTTTCATCTCCCGGATACAGTATCACCTAGTGAAAAAACGTATCATCTACTGTGATCCCTTTTCATCTACTGTGATACATATCACCCCTACGGGATACAGTATCATCCTTTGATACAGTTTCACAACTGGATACATATCATCTACTGGGATAAAATCATCAAACTTGTTAGGGAGGGGGAAAGGCTTAATGTTACCCTTTTTTAAGATGAACCGGTTGAGGAACGGGTTTTACCTACTAAAATGGAAGAATTTAATTTACGTCTGGGGATATAAAGGGGACTTTCGTTTCTTTTAGCTCGGGGAAGTAACACTAAAAATTTTGGACGAAAGGGGGGGGTCATTTACGTAATAAATGAAAGTAACTAGATAAAAGGAGAGATGTAAGCTTCACTTAGCTAAATGGAAGTAACTAGAGTAAATGATGGAAAGGAAAAAAAGAGAATGTCCGATTTTCTTACCAAGGAGTTGAGCTTCAAGAATATTACCTGACATATGGTAGGTGTCTGAGAGGACTGATGCTACTTATAGCAAGGCACAACCAGAGTTTTTGCTTTATTAAAAAAAAAACTGGATATATCAGCAATGTGCTGTTACCCTATTCTATGTAACAGTTACTATACCCTGTCATAGTCCATCACTCAGGATAGGGTTCATACAAGATGTTGAAATCTGTCAGCCTGAGTTGGGAGAGTGCGGTATGACAAGGTGTATATTAAGTATATCAGCAAGGGTTCATCATATACGACAGTTTCAAAGGTTCCCTTCCAGCAGAACTACAGTACTATCACTTGGAAATTACCATCCCTCAGAACAGCCTATCCCATACACAGGAGAAATGGAATTTTTATGAAGTTATCTCCATCATCCTTAAGAGAGGGTGAAAGAAATTATACACAGGAGGCAGAGGAGAGAGACCGGGGGGGTGGGGGGGGGGGGGGGGTTGGAATATGTATATCATAATACGTCTATGTAGGTACATATATAGTACATCAGTAGATAACAATGCAGAGTCATTATAAGCTTAAGAATATATGATGGCGCTGGCCTGATGACGATTTTCCTTATTTTCCAGTTTTCCTTTTAACATAATGTACACACATGAACATATACTGTACATGTATATACATATGCATATACATGAAGACATGCCCCAGTTGTAAGCATTTTCATACAATTTGGCATCACCTAGCTGCTATTGAGTGATGGTAAATTCATGGTGGTCAATGAGGGTATCCTCCTGCATTCCAGAATAAAGTGTTTACATAATACTCCAAGCTTAAGTCACTGACAACTGGACACTTAAGTATACAGTGGCAAAAGTCATGTAAAATGCGAGGGAAGAAGAGAGGGAGAGAGGACACAAGGGAGGTTAGGGAAATTAGGAGGAACGAAAAATAAATAATCAAGGTGCGATGGTTGGAGTGATGTTTGCCTATGAGATAACTCAGTACTCTTATTAATACAAAGGTAAATACAAATACCCAGTTATAATAATCCACATATTATGATTCATCAAAATGTTATCGAAACACTATCGTAAGAGAAACAGGAAGATACTAGCGATATTCCAGAAATAATAAATTATGTAGAACAAGACGATAATAAACTATGCACGATTAGGGTCACAAGTGACATGGTCCTTAGGCAAATAGATAAATTAAAACCTAACAAATCCCCAGGTCCTGATGAACTGTTTGAAAGGGTTCAAAAGGAATGGAAAGAGGAGCTTAGCAAACCTTTGGCTAATCTTTTCAACATATTACTACAAACTGGCATGGTGCCAGATAAGTGGAAAATGGCAAATGTAATACCTATTTTCAAAGCAGGTGACAGGTCCTTAGCTTCGAACTATAGATCAATAAGCCTAACCTCCATAGTGGGAAAATTTATGGAATCAATAATTGCCGAGGCAGTTCGTAGCCACCTTGAAAAACATAAATTAATCAACGAATTTCAGCATGGTTTTACAAAGGGGCGTTCCTGCCTTACGAATTTATTAACTTTTTTCACTAAGGTATTTGAGGAGGTAGATCATGGTAATGAATATGATATTGTGTATATGGACTTCATTAAGGCTTTTGACAGGGTCCCACATCAGAGACTATTGACGAAAATTAAGGCACATGGAATAGGAGAAATTTTTTCCTGGGTAGAGGCATGGTTGACAAATAGGCAGCAGAGAGTTTGCATAAATGGGGAGAAATCAGAGTGGGGAAGCGTCACGAGCGGTGTTCCACAGGGGTCAGTGTTGGGCCCCATGTTGTTCACAATCTACATAAACGACATAGATGAGGGCATAAAGAACGACATAAGCAAGTTTGCCGATGACACCAAAATAGGCCGTCGAATTCATTCTGACGAGGACATTAGAGCACTCCAGAAAGATTTGAATAGACTGATGCAGTGGTCGGAGTTGCAGATGCAGTTTAATATAGACAAATGAAAAGTTCTAAATGTTGGACAGGACAATAACCATGCCACATATAAATTAAATAATGTAGATCTTAATATTACGGATTGCGAAAAAGATTTAGGAGTTCTGGTTAGCAGTAATCTGAAACCAAGACAACAGTGCATAAGTGTTCGCAATAAAGCTAATAGAATCCCTGGCTTCATATCAAGAAGCATAAATAATAGGAGTCCTCAGGTTGTTCTTCAATTCTATATATCCCTGGTTAGGCCTTATTTAGATTATGCTGCACAGTTTTGGTCACCGTATTACAGAATGGATATAAATGCACTGGGAAGCGTACAAAGGAGGATCACGAAGTTGATCCCATGTATCAGAAATCTTCCCTATGAGGATAGGCTGAGGCCCTGAAGCTGCACTCTCTAAAAAGGCGTAGAATTAGAGGGCATATGATCGAGGTGTATAAATGGAAAACAGGAATGAGTAAAGGGGATGTAAATAGCGTGCTAAAAATATCTAGCCTAGACAGGACTCGCAGCAATGGCTTTAAGCTGAAAAAATTCAGATTCAGGAAGGTTATAGAAAAGTACTGGTTTGGTAAGAGTTTTGAATATTGTCTTTTAAACATATCCCTGAGGTATCCTGGTTATATCTGCTGTTTTCAACCCTAGTACTGCAGCCTGATTGCTTCCCACAGACACCCATACCTCTATAATCTATCAGTTTAAAGCCCTAGACATGTCACCAATAACCCCCTCAATCCAATTGTCATATTCATCTAACTGACGGTTTTCTAAAGCATAAATACATAATACGTGTCTCATCTTCACTTGATAGGATCATCTCACAGTGACGATCATGGTGACAAAGGAGAGACAAACACCTACAGCCTGTTGACCCCTGTATAGAGTGTTAGGGAGAATAAATGGACAGTAGTTTAGTGGGGTGTGCATTAAGCACACACCCGAAAACACCCAAGTTCAATTCCAGAGCTGGGCGAGATGTAAGAGAACGTCTCCTGGTACCTGGTGTCCACACGCAGTTAACAGTAAATAAGTGCCTAGGAATTGGTAGTCTATTATGAGCAGTGTACTAGGCAAGAATCTCCAATAATTAAGTCTCATTACTTGGCTTTCTTTGGCTATTTTAGGTTAATAAATCTACTGGATTATTAAATAGCTTCGAAGATGTCTTTTATAGAATGGGAAGTAAGTCAATGTGTAGTGACAGAGATGGGATCACACTGATAAACCAAGGGTGGATTAAGCAGCAAATGAGGGATAACCTCACCTGTAGTGATGGAGGCGGTCCAGGTGGGGTAGTCGTTGATGGTGGCGTTGGTGTAGTAAAGTTGAAAGTCGTACTTGGTGCCCGGGAGTGCTCTGGTCAGCTGGATGCCCTCGGATACCTGTGTGGGCGTGAAGGTGGAGTTGGGCAGAGGGTTGCCCTGGGGAGGCCAGTAGTCAAGCCGGTAGTAACCGTCCTGGTCACGCACTCTCTCAGCTGGGATGCGGATCACAACTTCCGCACTCACACTCTGTAACACACAGCACTACATTATTCTTCATCACAACCTCCACTCACTCACCTGCCACTCACTGATCGCTAGCCTACAACATCCGAACATTTGTAAATATCTTGCATAATATTTGCAGGTATTACTTTGCAACAGCTCTTGTATTTGAAACCACTTTATTTGGATGAGCCTCTTACAAAACATTTTGCAAATACGTAGTAACAAGATAGAAAACTGACAGAGTGGAAACACTGTTCGTCTGTTGGAAAGACGAAAAACGGGCACAAAGGAGGACCCCGATGGAAATTATAAAGGCAAATAAACACAAGGACAAATATTTATTCAGAATGTGGCATGACCTGGATGATAACTTTATCATAGGTATGGTAGGGCACACGAGGCTACGAAGATATACCTGTGACCGGTTTCTAGAATCTTCCTACTCTCGCAGTCCTTCCTGGGACCAGGTTTTCCTCTTTACCGACTGATCAACCAGGTAACCCACTAGCCTACATATCCATCATAGTGTAGTTGATCTGTTACTCTGTAGAGGTATTTATCCAGTTAAAAGGCGGTACTAAGAGCTGAGACAAGACTTCAGCAACCACAGCCTGGGGAGTACACAACACACACACACACACACACACACACACACACACACACACCACACACACACACACACACACACACACACATACACACATGCACATACAACAGGCCTAGTGTCTAATCGACATGTGCCTAGGACCAAATGGTAACACACACACACACACACACACACACACACACACACACACACACACACACACACACACACACACACACACACAAACACACACACACACACAAACACACACAAACACACACACACAAACACAAACACATACACACACACACACACACACACACACACACACACACACACACACACACACACACACACACACACATTGAGGACATCACATATGAGAGTCCCCTAGGAGCTAGTGACCACGTGGTTCTGTGCTTTGAATACATAGTAGAGTTGCAAGTGGAGAGAGTAACAGGAGTTGAATGGGAAAAGCCTGACTTATATAAAAGAGGGGACTACATAGGGTTGAGGAACTTCCTGCAGGAGGTTCCGTGGGACAGAGAACTGGCAGGAAATCCAGTAAATTAAATGATGGAATATGTAACAAAATGCAAGGAGGCAGTGGAAAGGTTTATTCCCAAGGGCAACAGAAACAATGGGAAGACCAGAACGAGCCCCTGGTTTACCCGACGGTGTAAGGAGGCAAAAACAAAGTGCAACAGAGAATGGAAAAAGTACAGAAGGCAGAGAATACATGAAAATAGGGAGATCAGTCGCAGAGCCAGGAACGAGTATGCACAAGTAAGGAGGGAGGCCCAGCGACAGTATGAAAATAACATAGCATCGAAAATCAAGACTGAACCGAAACTGTTGTATACTCACATCAGGAGGAAGACAACAGTCAAAGACCAGGTGATCAGACTGAGGACAGAAGGTGGAGAACTCACAAGAAATGACCAGGAGGTATGTGAGGAGCTAAACAGGAGATTTAAGGAAGTCTTTACAGTAGAGACAGGAAGGGCTTTGGGAAGACAGCACAGAAGGGAACATCAAGAGGGAATATACCAACAAGTGTTGGATGACAAAACGAACAACCGGGGAGGAGGTGCAGAAGCTGCTAAGTGACCTGGATACCTCAAATGCGATGGGACCGGACAACATCTCCCCATGGGTCCTTAGAGAAGGAGCAGAGATGCTGTGCGTGCCCCTAACCACAATCTTCAACACATCCCTTGAAACTGGGCAGCTACCTGAGAAATGAAAGACAGCAAATGTAGTCCCCAAATTTAAGAAAGGAAACAGAAATGAGGCACTAAACTACAGACCTGTGTCTCTGACATGTATTGTGTGCAAAGTCATGGAGAAGATTATCAGGAAGAGAGTTGTGGAACACCTGGAACGGAACAAGATTATAAATGAAAACCAGCATGGGTTCATGGAAGGCAAATCCTGTCACAAACCTTCTCGAGTTTTATGACAAGGTAACAGAAGTAAGACACTAGAGAGAGGGGTGGGTTGATTGCATTTTTCTTGACTGCAGGAAGGCCTTTGACACAGTTCCCCACAAGAGATTAGTGCAGAAGCTGGAGGAGCAGGCGCATATAACAGGGAGGGCACTGCAATGGATCAGGGAATACCTGACAGGGAGGCAACAACGAGTCATGAAGAGGTATCACAATGGGCGCCTGTGACGAGCGGGCTCC